TCAGACCCTGCACCTGGACGTTTGGGGCCCTGCCCCCGTCCCCGGACCGCGCGTGAGCGCTACTTCTTGTGCTCGTCGACGACTACACGCGCTACACCACGGTGTTTCCCCTGGAGCGGAAGGCCGACGTGCCCGACGTTCTTCTTCTCCCGTGGGTTGTGGCTGCGCGTCTTCACCGCGGTCTCCCTGTTGTGTCTCCACTCCGACCGTGGCGGCGAGTTCGCCTCTGGTCGGCTTGGACAGTTCTGTCGTGCGGAGGGCATCACCCAGTCGTACACCTTGCCGGACTCGCCACAGCAGAATGGGGTTGCTGAGCGCCGCATCGGCTTGGTCATGGAGGTGGCTCGTACCTCCATGATTCATGCCGATGCCCCCCATTTTCTGTGGCCGTTCGCTGTTCGCTACGCTGCTCACCAGCTTAACCTGTGGCCACGCTCCCAGCGGCCGCAGGTTTCGCCGACCCTCCTTTGGACCGGGTCCCCCGGTGACGCGTCTGCGTTCCACGTCTGGGGCTGCCTTGCTCACGTTCGTGCCTCTGGCACGGACAAGCTCACTGCCCGCACTGTCCCCTGTGTCTTCCTCGGTTTCCCCCTGGACTCGTCTGACTGGCTTTCTACCACCCGCGTCTCACCGCTTCCTCCACTCTCGTGACGTCACCTTTGACGAGTCGTCTCCTTCTCCGTCGCTTCCCTCACCGAGGTCTCCCGGTTCCCCCCCCTGTTCCTTGCTCCCTCCTCCCGGTAGCCCCTGCTCCCCTCCCGCCTCGTCCTGCCCCGTCTGGTGTCTCCCATGTCACTCCCCTCCCGTCGGTTGTCCCCGTTGAGGAGTCTGCTGACTCTGGTGGTCCCCCGGCCGTCCTTGCCGCGCCCCCTTCCCCGGTGCCCCCCCTCCGCTGTCGCAGTCGCGTCGCCGTCGCTCGCCGCTGTCGTCGCGCCCCGCCGTCGCGCGCCGCCGCCGCCACCGCCGTCGCAGCCGCCGCCACTTCCACCGCTGCCGCCGCTGCTACCGCTCTTGGCCTCTGGGGTGCTGGTGTTGAGGAGGGTGTGTCCTCTGCGCGTGGTCGGCTCTTGCCTGGGGGTGCGCTGGTGCTGGAGGGGTTCTCGCTCTGGGGGTGTTGGTTCTGGGGGTGCTGCTGTTGAGTGTTCTCCGCGGTCGTCTGCCCTGCCGGTCCGCGGGTCGAGCCCAGCCGTCGCGCAGCGCCGCGCAGCAGCCGTCGCCGCCGGTCTCCGCTCTTCGCCTGCTCGGCCTTCCCTCCCCGGACCGCTCGCCGGTGTCTCCCCCACCGCTCCTCTTCCTGTCTACGGTCCTGTGTTCCCGCCCCGGACTCGTCTCCGGCCCGTCTTCCTCCTCGTTCCCCTTGTGTCCCTCCGCTGTCCCCTGACCCTACACCTCCGTCCACGTTTGGTCTCGCCGTCCCTCCGTGCTCGTCCCGTCTCTCCTGTCCTGCGCTCCCACCCTATGTTGCTCCGTTCCCACTCGTCTCGTCCTCCCCTCCTCCCTCCCCTCCTCCCTCGTCGCTTGTTGTTGCACCTCCCCGCTGTCTGACTACCTCCGTGCTGCTCGTCCCCTTGTCCCTCGGGTCCTTGCCTCTCTTGTTACCGACCCGTCTGTTCCTGTCTCGCGCCTTGACGCGCTTGTCGCTGCTGTCGCTGACTTCGCCTCTACCCGCCGCCTTGACTACGCTACCGCTCTGGTCTCTGACCCTGCCCGTCCTCCGTCCGTCGGGGGTGCACCTGCCCTTGGCAGTGACGTCCTAGAGGACAGGCAGTACGAGCTGCTTTCCTTTCCGAGGCGCTCCCCATCTCTGCTCCATGCTCCTAGTCCCTGAGGGTGACCCAGACGCCTTCGACATCCCGACCCCTCGCACCTACGCTGAGGCCACCTCGGGACCTTGGGCCTCTCAGTGGATAGCTGCCATGGAGCAGGAGATGGCATCTTGGAGGTCCACCGGCACTTACGTCGACGCAGTTCCCCCGCCTGGGGTGAACGTAGTCGATGGTCTGGCTCTTCAAGGTGAAGCGCCCCCCTGGAGAGCCGCCTGTCTTCAAGGCGCGCTACGTGGCAGAGGCTTCAGCCAGCGCGAGGGGTTGACTTCTTCCAGACCTTCGCCCCGACCCCGAAGATGACCACTCTTCGGGCGCTGCTACACGTAGCAGCACAGCGCGACTACGAGCTTCACTCCCTCGACTTCTCTACTGCCTTTCTTCAGGGCAGCCTACACGAGCAGGTCTACCTGCGCCGACCACAGGGCTTCACTGGTACCTTCCCCCTGGGACCCAGTGGCTTCTCAGGCGCCCGGTCTACGGCCTGCGTCAGGCTCCCCGCGAGTGGCACGACACGCTGCGTGCCACGTTAGCAGACCTGCAGTTCTTTCCGTCCTCTGCTGACCCCTCGCTGTTTGTGCGTTCCGGCCAGACTCCGTTCTACATCCTTGTCTACGTAGACGACCTGGTCTTCGCTACTGCTGACAGGGACGCACTGGCCTCTGTGAAGGCCGAGCTGCTGAAGAGACACACCTGCACTGACCTTGGAGAGCTGCGTCGCTATCTTGGCCTGCAGATCTCTAGGGACAGAGCAGCACGCACCATCACTCTGACACAGTCACACTTGGTGCGTCAGGTCCTTCAGGTTCGGTCTTCAGTTCTCCTCCGCACAGCCCACACCTCTACCTGTAGACCATGGGCTCTCTGCTCCCGTTCCTGAGGAGCCAGTAGAGCCCAGTGGCCCCTACGCAGAGCTGGTGGGTTGCCTCATGTACCTGATGACTTGCACTCGCCCAGATCTCGCATACCCTCTCAGCATCCTGGCTCGCTTTGTGGCACAGGCAGACACCGACCACAGCACTGGTCTGCCGCTAAGAGGGTTTTGCGTTATCTGCAAGTACATCGGGCATGGGGTTAGTGCTAGGAGGACGCAGGCCAGTGGTCCTTACTGGGCACACAGACGCTTCTTGGGCAGACGACGCTGAGACGCTCAGGTCGTCGCAGGGCTACTGTTTTAGCCTTGGTTCGGGTGCTATCTCTTGGAGATCCACTTCGTCGTCTGTTGCTCAGTCCAGCTGTGAGGCTGAGATCTACGCGGTGCCATGGCGGCACAGGAGCTCCGCTGGCTGACCTTCTTGCTCACAGACTTAGGTGAGCGGCCTAGCTCTGCCCCGGTCCTGTACGCTGACAACAGGGCCATGATACTCCTGTGTCAGGAGCCTCGGCTTGAGGGCAGAGCGAAGCATATCCAGCTGCGGTACTTCCTCCTGCGCGAGCTACAGCAGCGCCGCCAGGCCCGCGTAGTTCACTTGGCCTCAGGTGCCAACACAGCTGATATCTTTACTAAGGCGCTTGCGCCTAAAGATCATCAGCGGCACTGTGTACAGCTTGGTCTTGTTCCTGTAGCTCTCACTGTTAGGATCCTGATTGTGTACTCTCTATATATACCTGTCTGACTGGCCTTGTGGCCTTACTCCAGTGGCTGGACTAGTAGTGCCGCCCTGGCTTGCTTTGTTTGTTGTATTCTTGCTGACTGGTCTGGACCCCTTCAGTGGTTGGACTAGTAGTGCCGCCCTGAGCTGTGTGCTTCTGCTTGTACCACCCCTTCTCTAGCCTAGGGGTGTGTCAACTTATACATGTATGATGTAGAAGTTATAGGCTAGTATCGGTGTGTGCTCTAGTGAGTACAACCCAACTGCTATATGTTCCCTGTTTCTCTTCTAGTTATCCATTCACGTATTCTAACACCCTGGTACTAAACGCTCTAAAGTAGAAATACGCCCTAACTCGTGACCACATAAATTATAACTGCAAAGTTACTGAGGTGCGTTATGTTCAAATTATATTTTTATATAATTATAGGCTTGGTAGTTGTACCTGTTTCTCTTCTAGTTGATCCACCTTTTCTCTCGACATTCTTCTCTCCTTCCTCCTAGCTAAACCCCGCCGCCATAGTCATGGCGTCCTAGCTATAATACCTTCACGACATGGTTTCAGAGCAGGCCGCCCGTCCCGGGCCTGCTCACTACTCGTCCGCTGCGTATTCTCTGGTACTTCGCCGCCTTCGCAACCTTCAGATTGCCTGCCGCCGTGGCACCTTCCATGCCGCGGCGGCCTCATGGTGGCGACGCCGTCGACGTCGGGCCGTCGCGGCGTGACAGCGCCGCCGTACTGACGTCGCGGCGTCGACGTCATGCCGCATCGACGTCACGTCGTGCAGCATCGACGCCGCTCGTTGACGGCGCCGTCGGGCTGCAGCCGACCGTGCGACGTCGGTGACGCTGCCGCCGCCCACACGCCAGCCAGCGCCCTCTCCTCTACACCACCCCTTCTCCTTGCATCCCCTCTCCCTCCTGCCGCAGCTGCTGTCTTCGGCTCGGTCATCGCCAGCCCATGCCACACCGCCGAGAGCCCTCAGCCGCCGCAGTCGCCGCCTGTCCTCATCACCGCAGCCGCCTTGAGCACGAGCTCCGCCGCTGTCGTCATTGAGGCCGCCCAGATGCGGCCAGCTGCCTCTCGTCCGGGGGTGTCATCGCCTAGCATGAGGGGTCGATACCCGGCTGCTCACGAGAATGAGGGGTCCGGGGTTAGGGGGTGTGTGTGTTTGAGTGGGCTTGCCACTACCAAGCCTAGGGGGTGTGTTCAAATTATATTTTATATAATTATAGGCTTGGTAGTTGTGCTACTGCATCCTACTGTAGAGGGGATAACTCCCCTTCTTGTACCTGTTTCTCGTCTAGTTGATCCACCTTTTCTCTCGACATTCTTCTCTCCTTCCTCCTAGCTAAACCCCACCGCCATAGTCATGGCGTCCTAGCTATAATACCTTCACGACACGTTATTCCCTCCACTTCAGTGCTAACAAACAAAAATCTTGGTGCACCCTGTCTAGTGAAGCCCAAGGCACGTCGTCACATCAGATCTGCAACATGTCAGTTGTCCGATCACGCGAGATCGTGTAACTACAGGAAAGTGTAAGGCTTCGCTTGAGTTATACCCTTATGTGAAAAAGTACAAATATTTAGGACCCTTATATTACAAAGTAGCTTTAAAATATACCCTTACAGAAAAAGTGGCAGCAAGCGAGTACCCTTACAAGAAAGAGTACTTTTAATCCTATCCAGAGGCCTGATGTGTACCCGTTACTGACTAAAACCCGTGATAAGGAAATACCATTTCCTTTCAGCACTGAAGCACTCAACTTCTGTACAAAAGCAATGCAGCTTGCTCCAGCTGGCCCAATCGGTTGTCGCCGAGTGCAATGCAGAGTACAGGTGCTGTGCATTCAGTCATGCTGCTGCACAGCACGATGAGTGCATAGTGTATTGCAGCTCTAGTTGCGCCTGGTGAATTCTACTGTAAGTCGACTCAAAAGTCACCTATGCACCCAACGGCGCAGCACAGCATAGCACTTTCACTGCAGCTCCAGCTGCCGCTGCTCGTTGCCACTGCAGCCAATGCAGGTGCCGCCAACGAGCAGCGGGGCAATGCTGCCTTTGCTCGTTGTCAGTGCATCAGCCTTTCAGCGCATCAGCCTTTCAGCGCATCAGCCTTTCAGCGCATCAGCCTTTCAGCGCATCAGCCTTTCAGCGCATCAGCCTTTCAGCGCATCAGCCTTTCAGCGCATCAGCCTTTCAGCGCATCAGCCTTTCAGCGCATCAGCCTCTCAGCGCATCAGCCTCTCAGCGCATCAGCCTTTCAGCGCATCAGCCTTTCAGCGCATCAGCCTCTCAGCGCATCAGCCTTTCAGCGCATCAGCCTTTCAGCGCATCAGCCTTTCAGCGCATCAGCCTCTCAGCGCATCAGCCTCTCAGCGCATCAGCCTCTCAGCGCATCAGCCTCTCAGCGCATCAGCCTTTCAGCGCATCAGCCTTTCAGCGCATCAGCCTTTCAGCGCATCAGACTTTCAGCGCATCAGCCTTTCAGCGCAGGCCCGATGCAGCTCCAGCTGCCCCTGCTCGTTGTCTCCAAAGCCCAATGCAGGTGCCGCCACGGCAGAAGGCAATGCTCCTGAGGCGCCACAAAATGCAAGGAGCCCACGGTTGGTTGCTTCAGTGCAGCTCCAGCTGCCCCTGCTCGTTGTCTCCAAAGCCAATGCAGGTGCCGTCACGGCACAAAGCGATGGTGTGATACGCCCCCGTGCTTATCTGCAGTGAAAAATACAACACGCACGGGCGGGCGGATGGACGGATGGACGAACTGTATTTGAGTCGAGTCGAAAGCATGAAATGAGTGACAGACTCCTGTGCTTATCTGCAGTCGAAACACAACACACACGGGCGGATAGCTGGACAAACGGACAGTCATTCATTAGCTGTTTGACTCGAAAGCAGGTGACTGAGTGGTTAGACTCTCCTGTGCTTATCCGCTGGGAAGCACACAGAAGTCAACATATGACATACGGTATCCCCATGCCCCTGTCCATCACCTGCACCACCCATGGCCTCAACCTGCACCACCCATGGGCCTCACGTGCACCACCCATGGCCTTCACGTGCACCACCCATGGCCTCACGTGCACCACCCATGGGCCTCAACGTGCACCACCCATGGCCTCACTGCACCACCCATGCTCACCTGCACCAACCCATGGCCTCAAGCCACCTGCACCAACCCAATGGCCTCACGTGCACCACCCATGGCCTCACCTGCACCACTCTCCTCCCCTCCATCGCTTGCACCGCCATGGGAGCAAACACCACGGCTACCCCCCTGCTGTAGACCCCAACCCACGTGACTCTATAGCCGGACTCAAAAGCCTCCCCAAACCCACCCTTTTCTCCCCCCTCTTGGCCTCCTTCCCACACCTTAGTTCCCCTCACCTGCACCACCCTTCTCCCCTCCAGCGCTTCTACTGCCATGGGAGCAAACACCTTGTCGCGCCCTGCTGCCACTCCGAGCCCAGGTGACTCTACAGTCAACTCTAAGTCCCCTTGTTCCTCCAACCCTGCCCATAGTTCCCCTCACCCGCACCACCCTCTTGCCCTCCAGGGCCTCCACCGCCATGGGAGCAAACACCTTGTCGCGCACGGCTGCCACACCCAGCCCAACAAGATCCATTTACCTGCTCAAAGCCCCTCCCATTCCACTCTTTTCTCCCCTCACCTGCACCACCCTCTTGCCCTCCAGAGCTTCGACCGCCATGGGAGCAAACACCTTGTTCGCGCCCGGTTGCCACTCCGAGCCCTCCAAAGGCTGTCCACCCGAAGGCAAACACCCGGCCCTGGTCGTCCAACGCCAGAGTCTTGCGCTTTCCCAGAGTCACCTGAGATCGGGAGGGGATCAGCAGGAGAGGGGGGATTATCAAAAGTTGTCAAGCGGTAAAAAGACGATTTTTGAGGCACCTAAAAAAAACCATCTATATAAGGCATGCTTCCACCCCCAGCCCCCCATTCCCCCACCCTCCCCCCCTTCCCCTCCCCCTCCCCCTCCCCCCCCTCCCACCCACCCCCCAAGGCCCCCCAGACCGCTAACCCTCCAACCCATTGACTGTGCATGTGCTCACATACCTGCACTATTCGAGTATGCAGGAGCCCCTCCACAACGCGTGGCAGCACCTCATTGGCCTCGCTGGCATTGCCCAAACACCCGCAGTAGCCTGAACCCCACATGAACACCTGCAACCGGGGAGCACAGGGAGAGTGCGGGTCACAGATGGCTGATTACACGCAGCAGGCGTTAGAGACAGAGGAAAACTGCACGCGAGAAGGGGGGGCTGGTTGGGGGGGCTGGTTTGGAGCGCATGAGAGAGGAAAACTTGGGAGCCCGGTTTGGATTGCAAATAGCAAGGTCTTTCACTCACCCGCCCCAGGCAGTTGACAGCAGCGGAGTAGTCGAGAGAAGCAGCAAAGTCACAGAGCACATGGACACCTGATGAAAGGACCCACACCACTGGCTGCTGAGGGCTCAACATACCCTCACACCTTACCATCACTCTTCCACCCGTCCACTCACCCGCCCCAGGCAGTCGACAGCAGCAGAGTAGTCCACAGAAGCCGCCACCTTGAGCACATGCACGCCCGAGTCAAGAAACCACGCCACAGGCTGCGGCACCAGACAATCAGAGAGGTCAGCTGCTGCTGCTGCTGCTGCTGCTGCTGCTGCTGCTGCTGCGGTTGTAGCACCGCCAGCACGCCTAGCCACACGCACGCTGGATGCACCCCCGGCTCTCCCCTGCGCTCTCCCTATCCGCCCTCCTCCTCTCACCCCCTCCGTCCTCTCCTGTCCCCCTCTGACCTCTTGCTCCTCCGCCCCACCCAACCCCCACCGCTGCGCACCCCCCAGCTGCCCACTATGCCCGCGGCCAAAAGCCAGCACCACTCCGCCTGCCGTGACGGCGAGAGAGTGGCTGGCGCCAGCTGCTACACTCACTATGCGGTATTGAGCATACTCATCGCCACTGCCGCCCATGTCAGTGCTCCTGCCGCCCATACGGTCGCTGCTCCCACCCATGGTATCATCTCCCCTGCCGCCCATGGCTCCGTCCAGCATGGCTCCGTCCAGCACGGCACCGTCCAGCACGGCAGCTAGCACTTCTGGCCGCAGACCCTCCACAACCGTTGGCCGGCATCTGTCGTCCGTATCCCCTATCCCCAGCCGGCCATTGCCGCCTGCTCCGAACGCATACACTGTGCCATCCGTAGCTAGAACCAAGGTATGGCTCCTCCCTGTGGCCACCTGCTGACATGGCACGCCTCTTAAAGCCTCCACTAATTTCGGCTGGGAAAATTTCTTCCCCGCCCCTTCCTGCCCGTGCCCGCAGCACCCGTTAGAGTCCTGCCCCATTGTGTAAACCTCCTCTGCTTCCGTTAGTATCACAGTGAACGCTCTTCCCCCCGCTACTTGCACCACCCTGTCCTCCTCCCTACCCCCCCCACCCACCCCATGCTCCTCATAATAACCCACCCCGGATGCCCCTGCCGCCGCCCCATGGTTCCCCCCATCTCCCCCAGCACCCCCCGACGCCCCTTCCCCCACCACTATATGCGCCTTGAGGCTTCCCCTCCGCCCTCTCCGCCCCCCTCCCTGCTGCGCTTGCTGCATCGTGCGCCCATTCAGCCTCTCCGAGCCTACTGCCGAGCCTATCGCTGCGGCACTGCCCGAGCCTGCGGTGCTGGCTCCGAGACGCACAGCAGCCAGGCCGGCGGCCAGGGCGCTGCTGGCGGCAGCCGCCCAACCTTGAGCCGCCTGGGGCGGCTCGACAGTCGCGGGGGCGGGTTGATTCGGGGGAGGCTGATTCGGGGCGGGGGTTGGGACGACTGGTGCTGGGTGAGTTGGCGCGGTACGCGGGGGGGCGAATTGTGGGGTGCCGTCGCGCGTGCCTGATCCGTACACCCACAGCTCGCCGCTAGTCTTTATCTGGAACGAGCAGTAATCGCCCGCGTAAACAGCGGCTGTTAATCCCGGGCCGCGGCGACCTCCCTCCCTCCCCAGGCTGGCCTCATCTTCCCCTTCCGCCGCCGCCGCCCAATCCGCGGCGAGCAAGGCGGCTTCCGCCGCGTCACATCCGCGCTTCCCCTCCCCCCCTCCGACCTCCACTTCCGAATCACTTCCCCGCCGCAACCCCCAGGCCTCCTCCACCGCCCACGCGAAACGCAGCACGCGCAGCCAGCTTCCGCCGCACCGCTGCGCCGCCATTGCGCGCAGCAGCTCCGCGGGGACCCGCGCGAGCAGCGGGTGGCGCAAGCATCTCGCGCGCGCGGATGTTTCGACGACGGAGTGGCGGCGGTTCGGGGGGAGCAGGAGCGGGCGGCGGAGGGCGTAGCAGACCGCCTCGAGCCGTGCGAGGTCTTCCGGGGAAAGCTCGCGGCTCGGGCCACCGGAAGATGGGCGAGCAAGCAGGTGCAGAAGCACGTCTTCTGATAGGTCGGCGAACGACGTCGGCAAATGCGTCGCAGAGTGTGCTGATGGTAGAAGCGTCGTGGCCATACTAGTAGTAGCTGACGCTGTAGTAGTAAGAGTGCTCGTATCAACGGCTTGGAAACAAACGAAAGACGACGTTATTCGCGGGCTCGAACTCCAAAGATCTATGGGGCTTGTAAGGCTCGGCTTGCTTCCGCGTAATGAGCTAGTCGCGACGGGCCTTTCGATAAGCTATTTTCTATTGATCTGTGGTGGTTCTTCTGAGGCTCTCTTCAAGCTCTTATTCTCTGCCATTGCTTTAGGTGGTGGGGGTGATGGTGATGTTGCAATTGTTGGCTTCGGCGTTGGTGGTGGTATGGTGCGATCTAGTACGGTTTGGCGTGTTACGGAGCGTGAAATGCCTTGTTGGGTTTGGCTGCGGTTGGTGAGGTTAGGTGGTGTGACTGACAGGGCTACTGGCTTGCGGCGAATTTGCGGTTTGGCGCGAAACGCAGGGCTGTTAGCGAAATTCGTGACAAGCGACAGAGCGCGGAAGCTGAAATGCGTCCGAGATGGCCTTCAGATTGCATGTGGACGGCTAAGATTCGACAACCCTAGTTATTTGCCAACGAGGGAATGTTACATGAGGTGCAGAGAGTTCGGCCAATCAACGAGGGGAAACAACGCCACCACGCCTGTGCAGACGAGCTTGTTTGACGTGGCCGGAAAGTCAATGAATGACGAGACTGTAACGGTAGCATTCGGTTCGGGTGCTGGTTTGCGGGGAGGCGGGCCAATGAGCTGTGAGGTCAGCAGACCAATCAGAGAGAGTCCACCCACCAAAAAGTTCCGTCTGTTGTAAAAACGAGTGTGACAATAGCAGACATAAGTTGAAACTATTCTTACGCGCACCAGCTACACTCAGAAAATGTTGTATTCTACAGTTCTGTGATTCTGCATTTTGCACCCGATCGTCCTTTGATGTGGTTTTGGCGGGGTGTATCCCAGTCTCTTGACGAGTTCTCTCAGACTTTTGTTGAACTGAACAGCGCAACCACAGTGAATCATGGCAGATAGTTGGGGGGGAAACCCTCGCGGCGGAGGTCGTGGAAGAGGGGGAAGAGGCGGAAGGGGCAATAGTGGCGGAAGATTCGGAAGTGGCGGAAGAGGCGGCAGAGGGTTTAGCGGAGCAACCGGAGGTTCAGGGTATAAGGGAAGTTGGGGAGGTTCTGGTTCTGGGGGCGGGTTCGGAAGGGGATCGGATGGAGCGGGCGGAAGAAGGGGGGGAGGGGGGAGAGGAAGAGTGGGAAGAGGCGGAGAGAGGGGGGGAAGAGGCGGCGGTAGAGGGGACTGGGGAAGATATCAGGGGGGAACCGGCGGAGAGGTTGGGCGCGGGAGCTTCAGCCCGGGCGATTCAAGGAAGCGGAAGTTTGAAGGCGCAAGCGGAAGTTCCGACGAGGGCGGAGGAGGAGGCGCACGCGGGCGAGGTTGGGGAAGAGGAGGCGGTCGCGGGGGGGACGGCGGACGGGGTGGGGGACGGGGCGGTGGACAGGGGCGAGGAGCGGGGAGGGGAGAGAGCGCTCCTAGCGGACCAATGGACAGGAAGCAGAGGAAGGTGCGTCGGAAACATAGGTGCATTCAGGGAAGGCGCGTCAGGGGAAGGTGCATTCAGGGAAGGCGTGTCAGAGGAAAGTGCTTCAGAAAAGGTTGCGGCTGAGAAATGCACGACTGAATATCGACTTTAGCTCACAGTGATTTCATGGTTGGGCCGATAAACCCCTGTGAATGTAAACCCTGGTTCGATAAACCCTGCGACTTAAACCCCGAGTCTGGCTCTCAAGCACCGCACCCCTTCCCTCCCGTATCCTCACTTACCCGCTATAACCCTCCCATTCGTTCTCCATTCATCCCTCTCACACCTCCCCTCACCTCCCCTCATATCATATCTCTCTCGCACTCCCCTCTCCCTTCCCCCCTTCAGTCATTCTCTCTTCTCCCCCTCTCCCCCTCCTTCCCCTTCCCCGTCCCCCTCCGCGCAGGAGTTAGCGGAGGCGCGGAAAAAGCGCCGCCGCCCTCTCTTTGATTTGGAAAAGGTTGGTTTAGGGAGGGTTTGGCACTAATCTTTATCTGGAAAGGGTGCATGTAGGGAGGGTTTGGCACTAATCGTTATCTGGAAAGGGTGCATGTAGGGAGGGTTTGGCACTAATCTTTATCTGGAAAGGGTGCATGTAGGGAGGGTTTGGCACTAATCTTTATCTGGAAAGGGTGCATGTAGGGAGGGTTTGGCACTAATCTTTATCTGGAAAGGGTGCATGTAGGGAGGGTTTAGCGCACTGGGTTTAACCCAGTTGCCGTGATCGAGGGGATAACTGTTTGGGCGAAGTTCGGTTGGGGTGCAAGGGTTGGGGATGGGGCTAAGGAAGAGGCATGGGAGTGCGTTGTGGTGCCACTTTCGCTGTGTTGTGGTGCCACTTTCGCTGTGTTGTGTTGTGCCATAGCGAAACTCTTTCTCATGCCTCACGCCGTGGCAAGGCATGCCATTTTCTCTGTGTTGCATTGTGAACTTGCCCTCTCCTCCCCTCCCCTGTGTGCGTATGCCGCCTTGTATGCTTGCGATGCGCACGGTTGCTTGTGAACGTGTGGCTGTGCTGGTGTGCCTGTGCTGGTGTGTGATTGTACCAGGAGCTGACTCTGCTGTGGGAGAAGTCTCGCCAGAGGAACATAGACATGGAGAAAAAACACAAGTAAGCAAAGCAACAGATGACACACTGACAGATGACATACTGACTGATGACACACTGACAGATGACACACTGACTGATGACACACTGACTGATGACACACTGACTGATGACACACTGACTGATGACACACTGACAGATGACACACTGACTGATGACACACTGACTGATGACACACTGACTGATGACACACTGACAGATGACACACTGACTGATGACACACTGACTGATGACACACTGACTGATGACACACTGACTGATGACACACTGACTGATGACACACTGACTGATGACACACTGACTGATGACACACTGACAGATGACACACTGACTGATGACACACTGACTGATGACACACTGACTGATGACACACTGACAGATGACACACTGACTGATGACACACTGACAGATGACACACTGACTGATGACACACTGACTGATGACACACTGACTGATGACACACTGACAGATGACACACTGACTGATGACACACTGACTGATGACACACTGACTGATGACACACTGACGTGAATGACACACACTGACTGATGACACACTGACTGATGACACACTGACTGATGACCACACTGGACAGATGACACACTGACATGACTGGATGACACACTGACTGATGACACACTGACTGATGACACACTGACTGATGACACACTGGGACTGATGACACACTGACTGATGACTATGTGCAGTACTTCGTGTGTGCGGCTCTGTGCTGTGCTACCTGCCTTGTTCTGAAACAAAGGACTTGACTCATACATTGTCTCTTCTGCCTCTCTGCACCTTCCTTGCTTCTTAACCTCGTTACAGGCTCGTGATTCTTAGTGATAGCTGAGATGAAGGGCAAATGGAGGTGTCGTGGTCTCCCACGTGGTCTTGAGTCCTGCTTATTCTTGACCTCTCCTCCTTCTTATACCCTCCATCCCAACCCCCATTCACCCCCCACCCATTCCTCGCCTCTCCTCTTCCCCGTTACAGGCTGGTAACGCCCCATGATATCGAAGATGAAGGGCAAGATGCTGGAGATGGCGCGGTCCGCACACGGTGTCTTGGATGCTGCATGCGTTTGTGAAGCACGGCAGGAAAAAACAGACCCACTTGAGTTCCCTCCTCTCTCTTATATCCCCGTTGCAGGCTGGTGACCTCAATGATTGCTAAGATGAAGGGCAAGATGTTGGAAATGGCGGCGGTCGCACACGGTGTCACGGGTGCTGCAGATGTGTGTTTAAGCACGGCAGGAAGGACGAGAGGGAGATGGTGTTCGCTGAGTTGAGGCCGCACTGCAGGGAGCTGGCCATTCACCCGTATGCCCACCACTTAGTCAACCGGATGATGGACCATGGTGAGTGCCTTGGGTGCCGCAGAGAAGACGTGTGTAGAGCACTTCTGAGAGGTCTGGGTGCTGCAGATGTGTGTTCACTGAGCTGAGGAAGCACTTCTGAGAGGTCAGGGTGCTGCAGATGTGTTTGGACCACGGTGAGTGAGTGGCACAATGCCCGTCACATCATGCTCGCTCGTGTGTATCCCTCACGTTACTTCAATGCCCCCCCCCCCCCCTCCCCCCTCCTCCACCCTGCGGCTTTCTTTCCCCCTTCTACTCGCCTCTCTCTCCTCGTCCCTTCCCACTCCCCCTCTCTCCCCATTCCGCCGCTCTCCCCTCTTTCTTCCCCTTCCCCCGACCCAACCCTCCGCCCCCCCTTCCCACTTCCCCCTTCTCCTGCCGTCCCATATCCTCCATTGTAACGAGGTGACTTTTTGGGTCGACTCAAAGGTCACCTCGTTACAATGTCACACAACAACTTCCCCCTTCCTCCTGCGTTCCGTATCCTCCATGCGAGCAGGCAGCAAGGAGAAGAAGCATGACAGCGCAGGGCAGCTGCGGGGGCACGTGGTGGAGACTCGAGGCAATGCGACAGCCCTTCCTTCCTTTCCGTTTCCCTCTCCCTTCCATTTTTCCTTGCTCCCATTATGTGTGCGAGCAGGCAGCAAGGAGAAGCAGCATGACAGCGCAGGGGGCAGCTGCGGGGGCACGTGGTGAAGATGATGGGATGTGATGCAGGCTCTTTCCTTGCTTTCTTTCCCCCTCTTCCTTTCCCCTCTCCCTTCCCCCTCTGCCATTCTGCGTGCGAGCAGCCAGCAAGGAGAAGAAGCACGACATCATAGGGCAGCTGCGGGGGCACGTGGTGGAGATGATGCGGCACCCTGTGGCCAGTGCAGGTACGGTGCAGTGCTTTGATGATGGTTATATTGTGTTTGTGGGGTGCATGGCACGACATCATAGGGCAGCTGGGGGGGCATGTGGTGGAGATGATGCGGCGTCACCCTGTGGCCTCGGCAGGTATATGTGACTGAGGGAGGGAGGTGGAACTGGGACAGGTGATACCTTCACATTGTGGCCATTGCACTGGTGAACAGCTGAGGGGGCATGTGGTGGTATCACATGATGCGGCGTCACCCTGCGGCATCACCCTGCGGCATCACCCTGTGGCCTCGGCAGGTATTGGTACCGGGAGGAGTGAAGTGACTAGGGCATGTACTCGTTGGTGCGTTAGTGAGGCTGCATGGCCATGGCCCACCATGCCCACCATGCCCACCATGCCCACCATGCGCACCATGCCCACCATGCGCACCATGCCCACCATGCCCACCATGCCCACCATGCCCACCATGCGCACCATGCCCACCATGCGCACCATGCCCACCATGCGCAACCTCTTTCTTCCTGCCGTATCCCCCACATCTCTGTGTGATTCTCTCCCCCTTTTCCAGTCGTGGAGAACGCCTACCAGCTCCTCCCCCCCCCCCCCAGCGCTCTGTTCTAGCTTCCGAGATATTCTCCCCCAAGTTCCGCCTCTTCCCCTCGCTCGTCCTCCCTCTCACCCTCCTCTCACCCTCCTCTCACTCTCCTCTCCTCCCTTCCTCCCTCTCCTCCCCCGGCACGCAAACCCGTTCCAGTCGTGGAGCACGCCTACCAGCTCTCCACACCTCCCCAGCGCTCAGCTCTAGCGTCCGAGTTCTTCTCCCCCGAGTTCCGCCTCTTCCCCTCGCTCGCCCTCCCGGCTCCGGCCACCTCTCTGACCTGCTGGCGGATCTCCCCACGGGCACCACCCGGCAGTCCGTGCTGCAGCACCTGGAAGCTTCCCTGCAGCCGATACTGGAGAAGGGGATCGTGGACCACTCGCTGTTCCACAGAGTGCTGGCGGACTACCTTCAAGTCATCTCCAAGGTATGATGGGTAATGCTCAAAACGTCTCTGGCTACGCCAACCAACATAGGCACCTGACTGACCTGCTGGCCGGTCCGGTCCCCCCGCGGGCACCACCGGACAGTCTGTGCTGCAACACCTAGAAGCTTCTCTGTAACCCATTTCTGAGGAGGGGTCATGACTCGTGGACCACTTTCCAAGGCGCCACCATGACGAATGAGCGCATCTGCGCATCTGTCATCCACCTCTACCCCCAACACCCCCGCCCACCCCCCCACCCGTTCCCCCCACCCGTCCTCCCCCCGCCCCACTTCCCCCTGCCAATGTATCAGAGGGAGGTGGCGGAGGTCCGGCAGCATCTGATGGGCGCTCTGCTGCTGCGCATGGTGCACACGAGGGATGGGGTCAGGATCGCCAACACCATGGTTGCCCAGGCGACTCCTAAGGTAAGCCATGGCATGCTATACATGTGAAGTGGATGCATGAAATGTGGTCGTGTCAGGGCAGTGTTTCTGACTGAGCACATTGCGCTTGTGTCTCTCGTCTCATATCCGTTGTTTGAAATGTGGCACGGCACGGCATGGCATGGCATGACATGGCACCGCGTGTATGGCACACGGCAGGAGGTGCGGCGGGTGGTGAAGGCGCTGAAGGGAGTGGTGGCGCGCGTGGCGTGTGACGACCACGGCCACCTGCTGCTGCTGCAGATGCTCGAGTCCGCCTCTTCCGGTCCTTTGACCCGGGTATGTTGCTTACACCCACTCTGCATTAACATGAGCATGCAACTTGTGGCATGTGACGACCCAGGGCACCTGCTGCTGCTGCTGCTGCTGGAGTCCGCCTCGTCCGGACCTTTGAACCGGGTACGTCACTTGCACCATGTAGCTTACAGCGTGTGGCGACCACAGCCACTTGCTGCTGCTGCTCGAGTCGGCGTCGTCTGGTCCCTTAAACCGGGGTATGCCACGTGCAATGCAACCGGCTGTGTCATGAGCACGTGAGGGCGAGTGGCATGTGGCGACCACGGCCACCTGCTGCTGCTGCAGCTGCTGCTCGAGTCTACCTCTTGTCCCCTCTGGTGCTTCTTGTGCTTTCAGTTGGGCGATCAAGGCGCTCATCAGAGACCTCTTTGAGGTCATGCAGGAGCGAATCTACCCCATCATATGCCGCCCCTGTCCTCCCTTCCCCCTTTACTTCTTTTCCCCCTGCCCCACTCCAGTTCGTGATCAAGGAGCTCATCAAAGACCTCTTCGAGGTCATGCAGGAGCAAATCAGGCGCCGGTTCCTGCTGCAGCTGCTCTCCAGTCCTTACCCCCCCGTCCCCCCCTTCCACCCTTTCCACCCTCTCTCTTTCCAGTTCGGGGTCAAGGAGCTCATTAAAGACCTCTTCGAGGTCATGTAGGAGCGAATCGCCTGCCGGTTCCTGCTGCACCTGCTGGCCCGTCCTTACCCCCCCGTCCCCGTCTTCCGCCCTGTCCTCCCTGTCCCTCCCTGTCCTCCCTGTCCCTCCCTTTCCTCCCTGTCCCTCCCTGTCCCTCCCTTTCCTCCCTGTCCCTCCCTGTCCTCCCTGTCCTCCCTGTCCTCCCTGTCCCTCCCTTTCCTCCCTGTCCTCCCTGTCCTCCCTGTCCCTCCCTTTCCTCCCTGTCCCTCCCTGTCCTCCCTGTCCTCCCTGTCCTCCCTGTCCCTCCCTTTCCCCCCTGTCCCCCCTGTCCCTCCCTTTCCTCCCTGTCCCTCCCTGTCCTCCCTGTCCTCCCTGTCCTCCCTGTCCCTCCCTTTCCTCCCTGTCCTCCCTGTCCTCCCTGTCCTCCCTGTCCTCCCTGTCCTCCCTGTCCTCCCTGTCCTCCCTGTCCTCCCTGTCCCTCCCTGTCCCTCCCTGTCCCTCCCTGTCCTCCCTGTCCTCCCTGTCCTCCCTGTCCCTCCCTGTCCCTCCCTGTCCCTCCCTGTCCCTCCCTGTCCTCCCTGTCCTCCCTGTCCTCCCTGTCCTCCCTGTCCCTCCCTTTCCTCCCTGTCCCTCCCTGTCCCTCCCTTTCCTCCCTGTCCCTCCCTGTCCCTCCCTGTCCCCCCTGTCCTCCCTGTCCCTCCCTTTCCTCCCTGTCCCTCCCTGTCCTCCCTGTCCTCCCTGTCCTCCCTGTCCCTCCCTTTCCTCCCTGTCCTCCCTGTCCTCCCTGTCCCTCCCTTTCCTCCCTGTCCCTCCCTGTCCTCCCTGTCCTCCCTGTCCTCCCTGTCCCTCCCTTTCCCCCCTGTCCCCCCTGTCCCTCCCTGTCCTCCCTGTCCTCCCTGTCCTCCCTGTCCTCCCTGTCCTCCCTGTCCCTCCCTGTCCCTCCCTGTCCCTCCCTGTCCTCCCTGTCCCTCCCTGTCCTCCCTGTCCTCCCTGTCCTCCCTGTCCCTCCCTTTCCTCCCTGTCCTCCCTGTCCTCCCTGTCCTCCCTGTCCTCCCTGTCCTCCCTGTCCTCCCTGTCCTCCCTGTCCCTCCCTGTCCCTCCCTTTCCTCCCTGTCCCTCCCTGTCCCTCCCTGTCCTCCCTGTCCCTCCTTTCCTCCCTGTCCTCCCTGTCCTCCCTGTCCCTCCCTGTCCTCCCTGTCCTCCCTGTCCTCCCTGTCCCTCCCTGTCCCTCCCTGTCCCTCCCTGTCCTCCCTGTCCTCCCTGTCCTCCCTGTCCTCCCTGTCCCTCCCTGTCCCTCCCTGTCCTCCCTGTCCCTCCCTTTCCTCCCTGTCCCTCCCTGTCCCTCCCTTTCCTCCCTGTCCCTCCCTGTCCTCCCTGTCCTCCCTGTCCTCCCTGTCCCTCCCTGTCCTCCCTGTCCTCCCTGTCCTCCCTGTCCTCCCTGTCCTCCCTGTCCTCCCTGTCCTCCCTGTCCCTCCCTGTCCCTCCCTGTCCCTCCCTGTCCTCCCTGTCCTCCCTGTCCTCCCTGTCCCTCCCTGTCCCTCCCTTTCCTCCCTGTCCCTCCCTGTCCTCCCTGTCCTCCCTGTCCTCCCTGTCCCTCCCTGTCCTCCCTGTCCTCCCTGTCCCTCCCTGTCCTCCCTGTCCTCCCTGTCCTCTGTCCCTCCTCCCTGTCCTCCCTGTCCCTCCCTGTCCCTCCCTGTCCTCCCTGTCCTCCCTGTCCTCCCTTTCCTCCCTGTCCCTCCCTGTCCCTCCCTTTCCTCCCTGTCCCTCCCTGTCCTCCCTGTCCTCCTGTCCTCCCTGTCCTCCCTGTCCTCCCTGTCCCTCCCTGTCCCTCCCTGTCCCTCCCTGTCCCTCCCTGTCCCTCCCTGTCCTCCCTGTCCTCCCTTTCCTCCCTGTCCCTCCCTGTCCCTCCCTTTCCTCCCTGTCCCTCCCTGTCCTCCCTGTCCTCCCTGTCCTCCCTGTCCTCCTGTCCTCCCTGTCCTCCCTGTCCCTCCCTGTCCCTCCCTGTCCTCCCTGTCCCTCCCTGTCCTCCCTGTCCTCCCTTTCCTCCCTGTCCTCCCTGTCCCTCCCTGTCCCTCCCTGTCCCTCCCTGTCCCTCCCTGTCCTCCCTGTCCTCCCTGTCCTCCTGTCCCTCCCTGTCCCTCCTTTCCTCCCTGTCCCTCCTGTCCTCCCTGTCCTCCCTGTCCTCCCTGTCCCTCCCTGTCCTCCCTGTCCTCCCTGTCCTCCCTGTCCTCCCTGTCCTCCCTGTCCTCCCTGTCCCTCCCTGTCCCTCCCTGTCCCTCCCTGTCCCTCCCTGTCCCTCCCTGTCCTCCCTGTCCTCCCTTTCCTCCCTGTCCTCCCCTGTCCCTCCCTTTCCTCCCTGTCCCTCCCTGTCCTCCCTGTCCTCCCTGTCCTCCCTGTCCTCCCTGTCCTCCCTGTCCTCCCTGTCCCTCCCTGTCCCTCCCTGTCCTCCCTGTCCTCCCTGTCCTCCCTGTCCTCCCTGTCCCTCCCTGTCCCTCCTGTCCTCCCTGTCCCTCCCTTTCCTCCCTGTCCTCCTTTCCTCCCTGTCCTCCCTGTCCCTCCCTGTCCCTCCCTGTCCCTCCTGTCCTCCCTGTCCTCCTTTCCTCCCTGTCCCTCCCTTTCCTCCCTGTCCCTCCCTTTCCTCCCTGTCCCTCCCTGTCCCTCCCTGTCCCTCCCTGTCCTCCCTGTCCTCCCTGTCCTCCCTGTCCTCCCTGTCCCTCCCTGTCCCCCTGTCCCCCTGTCCCCCCTGTCCCTCCTGTCCCCCCTGTCCCCCCTGTCCTCCCTGTCCCTCCCTGTCCTCCCTGTCCTCCCTGTCCTCCCTGTCCTCCCTGTCCTCCTGTCCTCCCTGTCCCTCCCTGTCCCTCCCTGTCCCTCCCTGTCCTCCCTGTCCTCCCTGTCCCTCCCTTTCCTCCCTGTCCCTCCCTTTCCTCCCTGTCCCTCCCTTTCCTCCCTGTCCTCCCTTTCCTCCCTGTCCCTCCCTGTCCTCCCTGTCTCCCTGTCCCTCCCTGTCCCTCCCTGTCCTCCCTGTCCTCCCTGTCCTCCCTGTCCTCCTCTGTCCTCCCTGTCCTCCCTGTCCCCCTGTCCCCCCTGTCCCCCTGTCCCTCCCTGTCCCCCTGTCCTCCCTGTCCTCCCTGTCCCTCCCTGTCCTCCCTGTCCTCCTGTCCTCCCTGTCCCTCCCTTTCCTCCCTGTCCTCCCTGTCCCTCCCTTTCCTCCCTGTCCCTCCCTTTCCTCCTGTCCTCCCTGTCCCTCCCTGTCCTCCCTGTCCCTCCCTTCTCCTCCCTGTCCTCCCTTTCCTCCCTGTCCCTCCCTGTCCTCCCTGTCCTCCCTGTCCTCCCTGTCCTCCTGTCCTCCCTGTCCTCCCTGTCCTCCCTGTCCTCCCTGTCCTCCCTGTCCCTCCCTGTCCCTCCCTGTCCTCCCTGTCCTCCCTGTCCCTCCCTGTCCTCCCTGTCCTCCCTGTCCCTCCCTTTCCTCCCTGTCCTCCCTGTCCCTCCCTGTCCCTCCTGTCCTCCTGCCTCCCTGTCCTCCCTGTCCTCCCTGTCCCTCCCTGTCCCCCCTGTCCTCCCTGTCCCCCCTGTCCCTCCCTGTCCCCCTGCCCCCTGTCCTCCCTGTCCCTCCTGTCCTCCCTGTCCTCCCTGTCTCCTGTCCTCCCTGTCCTCCCTGTCCCTCCCTGTCCCTCCCTGTCCCTCCCTGTCCCTCCCTGTCCTCCCTGTCCTCCCTGTCCCTCCCTTTCCTCCCTGTCCCTCCCTTTCCTCCCTGTCCCTCCCTTTCCTCCCTGTCCCTCCCTGTCCCTCCCTGTCCCTCCCTGTCCCTCCCTGTCCTCCCTGTCCTCCCTGTCCTCCCTGTCCTCCCTGTCCCTCCCTGTCCCCCCTGTCCCTCCCTGTCCCTCCCTGTCCTCCCTGTCCTCCCTGTCCTCCCTGTCCCTCCCTTTCCTCCCTGTCCCTCCCTGTCCCTCCCTGTCCCTCCCTTTCCTCCCTGTCCCTCCCTGTCCCCCCTGTCCCCCCTGTCCCCCCTGTCCCTCCCTTCCCCCTGTCCCCCCTGTCCTCCTGTCCCTCCTGTCCCTCCCTGTCCTCCCTGTCCTCCCTGTCCTCCCCTGTCCTCCCTGTCCCTCCCTGTCCCCCTGTCCCCCTGTCCCCCCTGTCCCTCCCTGTCCCCCCTGTCCCCCTGTCCCCCCTGTCCCCCCTGTCCCCCCTGTCCCTCCATCCAGTTCGTGATCAAGGAGCTCATCAAAGACCTGTTTGAGGTCATGCAGGAGCGATCTGATCATCTGATGCTGCATTTTCCCCCCTGTCGCACTCCTCCAGCTCGTTATCAAGGAGCTGATCTAAGGCCTCTTTAGAGTCATGCAGCAGAGCGAATCAAACCTCATCAAATTCCACCCCCTCCTGTCCTCCCTTCCCCCTTTACTTATTTTCCCACCTGCCACACTCCAGTTCGTGATCAAGGAGCTCATCAAAGACCTCTTCGACGTCATGCAGGAGCGGATCGGCCGCTGGTTCCTGCTGCAGCTGCCCCCTGTCCCTTACTCCTGTCCCCCCTGTTCCCCCTGTTCCCCCTGTTCCCCCTGTCCCCCCTGTTCCCGCTGTTCCTCCTGTTCCCCCTGTTCCCCCTGTCCCCCCTGTTCCCGCTGTTCCCCCTGTTCCCCCTGCCCCCCCCCCCCCCCCCCCCCTTCCCCCCCCCCGTATCACCCCAGTTCGTGATCAAGGAGCTCATCAAGTCATGCAGGAGCGCATCGGCCACCGGTTCCTGCTGCAGCGTCTGGCCAGTGCTTACCCCCCTCCCCTGACCCCCCTTCCTCCCCTTCCTCCCTTTGCACCCTCTCTCTTTCCAGTTCGTGGTCAAGGAGCTCATTAAAGACCTCTTCGAGGTCATGCAGGAGCGGATCGGCCGCCGGTTCCTGCTGCAGCTGCTCGCCCCCTCCTCCCACCGCTACCTGCCACCCGATGCCGCCCAGGCTGTTGTGGTGGGCGGCAGAGTGGAGGAGGAGGGGGAGGAAGAGGAGGAGGAGGGGCAGGAGGAGGAAGGAGGGGATGATGATGGAGAGGAGGGGGAGGAAGAGGAGGGAAAGGAGCAAGGGGGGGCGATGGAAGAAGGGGAGGGTGAAGAGGAGGAGGAGGAAGGTCAGGGAGGTGAGGAGATGGAAGAGGATGAGGAGGAGGAGGAGGAGGGAGGAGAGGGGAGGCGGAGGAGGGTGAAGAGGGAGAGGAGGGAAAGGAAGGGGATGAGGGAGAAGAGGGAGAAGAGGGGGAGGAGGGGGAGGAGGGGGAGGAAGGGGAGGAGGAGGAAGAGGCGGGGGAGGGAGAGGAAGGAGGTGCCACAGCTACGAAGTTCAGCAAGAGGAAGGGGAAGGCAGACGGCAAGAAGAGAAAGGCTGCTGCCGCTGCAGCAGCAGCAGATGATGATGATAGTGATGAGGAGGAGGAGGATGAGGGGGATGAGGAGGGGGAGGGGGAGGGTGGAAGGGGCTCTCGGTCCGTTGCTAAGAGAAGGAAGCTTCTGATTGATTCAGGATTGGGCGAGGTGAGGAGGGAGGGAAGTTGGGGGGTTGGGTTGTGGGGGGATGGGATGTGACAAGATGGGATGTGACATGATGGGATGTGACATGATGGGATGTGACAATATGCGTCCGGAGATGAATTGCAAGGGTTGAGATGCCGGGGAGTGAATGCACACTGCAGTTCAGGTTGGTTGTTGTAATTGTCCCAACTCCGAATGTTTCTCAAACTCTTTCTCAAACTCTTCTCTGTGCAGCTGTACCAGGAGATGCTCAAGCTGGCAGAGGAGCATGCAGGCGGCTTGCTGGCTGGCTTTTGAGGGGTCGCTAATAATGCTGTGTGCTGCTGCCTTGTGCTCCTACCTTGTGCTGCTGCTCTGTGTGTCTGCACCAGGAGATGCTCAAGCTGGCAGCGGAGCATGCGGGCGCCATGCTGAGGTCTCAGTTTGCCTGCGATGTCATCTATGAGGTACACTGCGCTGTTACAGGTTCATCTGTGAGGTACAATGCGCTGTTAAAGGTTCATCTGTGAGGTACCATGCGTGGTTACAGTTTCATCTGTGAGGTACCATGTGTGGTTACAGTTTCATATGTAAGGTACCATGCGCCATTACAGTTTCATCTGTGAAGTGCATTTGCTGTTACAGTTTCATCTGTGAAGTGCATTTGCTGTTACAGTTTCATCTGTGAGGTGAGGTGCATATGCACCACCACCATCCACCACCCCTCTCCCCCCTTGCACTCAGCCATTGCTGCTGAAGCTGCTGCGCCCCTTCGTACACTTCCCTGCTTACGTCTCCTTTTTGAGAATTCTGAAAAAAATCGCCCCTTCTTACATTTCCCTGCTTACGTCTCCCTCCAACCTGAAGTGCTTTTGAGTCGACTCAAAATGCGTATTCCCCCCAAATCCAGTTCCCTCACCTTGCCCGCGGTGGTGACTCTTCTCTTCTCGCCCTGCACCACCCCTGACTGCCCAGCACTCAGCCATTGCTGCTGAGGCCGCTGCTCCCCTTACTACACCTCATCTCCTTTCGTCTCCTTCCCTCCCCCCCCCCCCTGCAGCTTGCACGTGGAGGAGACTCGTCTCTCCTCGCCCTGCACTATCCTACACTCCTCTCCGCCCTGCACTCAGGCATCGCTGCTGAAGCCGCTGCTCCCCGCCCCCCTGCTGCTGCTGCTGCCAATGGCGCTGCTGCTGGTGGTGATGGTGCGGGCCAAGAAGGACAAGTCAAAGAAGGGCAAGGAGAAGAGCGGCAAGGTGCAGAAAGCACAGGAGGGGGGTGAGGAGGAGGGGGCAGAGAAGGGGGAGAGGATGGGGAGCAGGCGGAGAAGCAGGGGGAGCAGCAGCCAAGCCATGTGTTGGAGGATTTCTTTGGCAGCAGAGTGCTGAGACGCCTGGTGGCAGATGAGGAGCGCCAGGCCGCAGCAGCAGCTGCGACTGCAGCTGTGGCAGAAGGAGCAGCAGAAACTGCGAAGTCTGAAGAAGCGGCGGCTGCAGCAGCAGCAGCGTTGGAGGGGGAAGTTGAGCCTTTCTGTGCCGTGTTGTGGCGAGAGGCGCTGCGAGGGCGGTGCAGGGAGTGGGGCACAGGCCACAGGTAAGAGGGGCTTTAAGGCCCAGGTGAGAGGGGACTGTTTCCTAACTTCCTACATATCCTTGCTTCTTAGTTCGCCTCATTTTCTCGTCACACTGACAAAGGCGTTTGGCTCTATGTTGTCAAATATCACACTGCGCTGGTGTTTGCTCTCGTCCCTTCACCACTCGCCTTTCCTTCCTTCCCTCCCCCCGTTCTGCCCCCAGTGCCAAGGTGGTGGCAGCTCTGGCGCATGCCCCTCACAAGCCAACAAAAGATGCCGCCCTGGCAGAGATGGCAACGTTTCTCGGTCTGCCCGAGTTTGCTGCACTGAAACGATTGGTGGAGAGCCCACCCTCCCACCATCACCAGCAGTAGTAGCTGCAGCAGCAGCAGCAGCAGGAGGGAGCATACTGAGTAAAAAGAGCACCTATTGTAGAACCACCGGAATTGCAGAAGCTTGGCCACCTTTCTAGAAAAGAACGCGCTGTAGTCAGGACGTGTGCTGCACTGTACGCATTCCAAAATGCTTGAAATGTGTCGCACATGCATATGCCACTCACCTGGACCTCCAACGTGTAGCTTGGCGACGATAATGCAAGGCAAGGCAATGTGTTGCGCAGTGCACAGATTGGACAGGAAGGTGTGCTGAGTGGAGCTTTGGGTTTAGGGTTTATGGATGCAATTACCTTGAACCAATTGTGCCAAGGTGACCTTTTCACCTAGGTGGTAATTTGGTAACCAGCCCTCGTCTACCTTTTCAGCCCCAAACTTCTTCCCGAGTTGCCTCGAACCCATTTTGACACCCTCGGGACTATCGAGCCCTTCACTGGTCCAACCTGTCAACGAGAGAACTGTTGACTAGAATGAGAGATACAAGGTGCTTTTGTGCAAAGGGGTTGTACTTTCTAAGAGTATGCCCCTATCTAGCCTATAAGATATATATATATGTTTTGACACACCCCCTAGGCTAGATGAGGGGCAATGCCTGGCAAGAGACACACAACTCAAGGTGGCACTATTAGTCCAACCTCTGAGGCAAGGGTTCGAAGACCAGTCATAAAGAGTACAAACTAAACAAGCGCAACCTAGGGCGGTACTACTAGTCCAGCCACTGGAACAAGAGCCACAAGGCCAGTCAAGATAATATAGAAGTAGTACACAATCAAGGTCCTAAGCAAGTGGGAAGCTACAGGAACTAGACCAAGTTGTACACAGTGCCGCTAATGATCTTTAGGCGCAAGCGCCTTCGTAAAGATATTAGTTGTGTTGGCACCTGAGGCGAAGTGTACTACGCGGGCCTGATGGCGCTGCTGTAGCTCGTGCAGGAGGAAGTACCGCAGCTGTATGTGCTTCGCTCTGCCCTCAAGTCGAGGCTACTGACATAGGAGAATTATGGCCCTGTTGTCAGCGTACAGGACCGGGACAGAGCTAGGCCGCTCACCTAAGTCAGGGAGCAAGAAAGTCAGCCAGCGGAGCTCCTATGCTACCCTGACACCGGCGTAGTTCTCAGCCTCACAGCTAGACTGGGCAACAGATGACGAGCAGGTGGACCTCCACGAGATGGCACCTATACCAAGGCTAAAGCAGTAGCTGTAAGAGGATCTGAGCGTCTCAGAGTCGTCCGTCCACGAAGCGTCCTGTCAGGACCACTGGCCTGTGTCCTCCTAGCACTAGCCCCATGACCGATGTACTTACTAGATAACTCAAAACCCTCTTATCGGCCGACCAGTGCTGTGGTCGGTGTGTGCCTGTGGCCACAAAGCGAGCCAGGATGCTGAGAGGGTATGCTAGATCTGGACGAGTGCAAGTCATCAGGTACATGAGGCAACCCACCAGCTCTGCGTAAGCACCACTTGGCTCTAAGGACTCCTCAGGGACTGCAGCCGAGAGCCTATGATCTACAGGCAGAGGTGTGGGCTGTGCGGAGGAGAACGGAAGGCCGAACCTCTGAAGCACTTGGCGCACCAAGAGTGATGGTGCACGCTGCTCTGTCCCTGGAGATCTACAGGCCAAGTTAACGGCGCAGCTCTCCTAGGTCAGTGCAGGTGTGTCTTCTCAGAAGCTCATCCTTTACGGAGGCCAGTGCGTCTCTATCTGCAGTAGTAGAGACCAGGTCGTCTACATAGAGAAGGATGTAGAACGGGGACTGACCAGCACGAACAAAGAGCAAGGGGTCCACAGAGGACGGGAAGAACTGCAGGTCAGCTAGCGGAGCACAAGCGTGTCGTGCCACTCGCGCGGCGCCTGCCGCAGGCCGAAAACCGGGCGTCGGAGGAGCCACTGGGTCCCCTGGGCGAAGGTGCCGGTGAAGCCTGGGGGGCGACGCAGGTAGACCTGCTCGTGCATACTGCCCTAAAGAAACGCTGTAGAGAAGTCGAGGGAGTGCAACTCGTAGTCACGCTGTGCTGCTACGTATAACAGCGCCCAAAGAGAAGTCATCTTCGGGGTCGGGGCGAAGGTCTGAAAGAAGTCAACACCCTAGCGCTGACTAAAGCCTCTAGCAGCGTTAGCGCGTCTTGAACACCGATGGCTCTCCAGTAGGGCGCTTCGCCTTGAAGAGCCACCGGCCATCGACTACGTTCACCCTAGGTGGGGGAGCTGCGTTGATGTAGGTGCTTGTGGATCTCCAAGATGCCATCTCCGCATCCATGGCAGCTATCCACTGAGAGGCCCAGGGTCCTGAGGTGGCCTCCGCGTAAGTGCGAGGGGTCGGAATGTCAAAGGCATCTGGGTCCCCCTCAAGGACTTTCGGCATGAAGCAGAGATGAGGCGCGGCCTCGGATAGGAAAGCAAGCTCGTACTGTCGATCCTCTAGGACGTCACTGCCGAGGGCAGGAGCACCCCCGACAAACAGAGGATGCTCAGGGTCAGAGACCTTGGCGTAGTCAAGGCGGTGGGTGGAGGCAAAATTGGCTACGGCAACGACAAGCACGTCAAGACTCGAGACAGGAACAGACAGGTCAGTAACAAGGAAGGCAAGGACACGAGGAACAAGAGGACTAGTGGCACGAAGGAAGTTAGACAGAGGAGGCAGAGTGACAACAAGCGACAACGAAGGAGGAGACGAGAGGAGGGGAGAACAAGACGCGTGCGAACGAAGGGTTTAGAGTGCTGAACAGGAGAGACAGGACGAGCACGGGAGGGACGGCGAGACCAGACGTGGGACGGAGGCGTTGGGTCAGGAGACAAAGGAGGAGACACTAGAGGAGAACGAGGGGGAAAACGAATCGGAGACGGGTCCAGCAGAGGAAACACAGGTCCGAAGACAGGCAGGGGAGCGGCGGCGAGGGAGGCGTAGGCAGGTGGTCAGGGGAGGAGAGACCGAGGAGGCGAAGGGCGGACACCGGCTGCGACTGCTGCTACTACGCCACACCGACACCATAACCTCCAGCTGTACCACGGCTACCTCCGGAGCGCTCGACTCCAGCAACCCCTGAACAAGACCTATGTCACACCCAGGACCGCCAAGGAAAGCCACGACAGTAACGCCATGACTAGCACCCACCCTGATGCCAGCACCCCCAGAACGCGCAGACCCCTGCGGCGGCGTCAGCGGCTGATGTTGCTTCTGCGGCGGCACCGGCAGCTGCGGCTGCGGTAGTGGAGGAGGGGACATCGGGGCAGAGACAGTCGATGAAACCGAAGCCGCGGGGCCCTCGGAGTTAGCCGACTCCTCCACCAGGACCACCGATGGGAGGGGAGTGACGTGAGACACACCAGACAGGGCAGGAGGAGGGGGAGAGGGGCAGACGCTACCAGGGAGAGGGAACCAGAAACAGGGGAGGGGGAAACCGGCAGACCTCGGTGGGAAAAGCGGTGGTAGAAGGAGACAGACTCGTCAAAGGTGTCGTCACGCGAGTAAAAGAAGCGGGCTCTACTGATTCCTCAGAAATTGGAACTAAGAGCCTGTGATCTACTGGCAGAGGTGTGAGCTGTGCGGAGGAGAACTGAAGACCGAACCTCTAAACGACCTGGCGCACCAAGTGTGACTGGGTGAGAGTGATGGTGCGCGCTGCTCTGTCCCTGGAGATCTGCAAGCCAAGGTAGTGGTGCAGTTCTCCTAGGTCAGTGCAAGTGTGTCTCTTCAGTAGCTCTGCCTTCACGTAGGCCAGTGCGTCCGTGTCTGTAGTGGCGAAGACCAGGTCGTCTACGTAAACAAGGATGTAGAACGGGGTCTGGCCAGCACGAACGAAGAGCGAGGGGTCTGCAGAGGACGGAAAGAACTGCAGTTCAGCAAGGGTAGCACGCAGTGTGTCGTGCCACTTACGGGGCGCCTATCGCAAGCCGTAGATTGGGCGCCGCAGTAGCCACGAGGTCCCAGGAGGAAGGTACCAGTGAAGACCTGAGGGCGGCGCAGGTAGACCTGCTCGTGTAGGCTGCCCTGAAGGAAGGTAGTGGAGAAGTCGAGGAGTGTAACTCGTATTCACGCTGTGCTGCTACGTGTAGGAACGCACGAAGAGTAGTCATCTTCGGGGTCGGGGCGAAGGTCTGAAAGAAGTCCACCCCCTCACGCTGACTGAAGCCTCCAGCCACATAGCGCGCCTTGAAGAGCCACTGGCCATCAACTACGTACACCCCAGGTGGGGGAACTGCGTCGACGTAGGTGCCGGTGGATCTCCAAGATGCCATCTCCTGCTCCATGGCAGCTATCCACTTAGAGGCCCAGGGTCCCGAGATCGCCTCAGCGTAGGTGCGAGGGGTCAGGATTTCGAAAGCGTCTGGGTCACCCTCAGGGACTAGTAGCATGGAATAGCGATGGGGAGCAGCCTCGGACAGGAAAGCAAGCTCGTACTGCCGGTCCTCCAGGACGTCACTGCCGAGGGCAGGAGCACCCCCGACGGACGGAGGACGAGCAGGGTGAGAGTCCAGAGCAGTGGCGTAGTCAAGGCGGCGGGTAGAGGTGAAGTCACCGACGGCAGCGACAAGAGCGTCTAGACGCAAAACATGAACAGACGGGTCGGTAACGAGAGAGGCAAGGACCTGAGGAACAAAGGACGAGCTACACGAAGGTAGTCAGACAAAGGGGAGGCGCGGCAACAAGGGAGGACGGAGGAGGCGACGGCAGGAGGGGAGGACGAGATGCGTGGGAATGGAGCAACATAGGGTGAGAGCGCGGAACAGGAGAGACAGGACGAGCTCGAGAGGGACGGCGTGACCAGACGTGAGACGGAGGTGTCGGATCAGAAGACAGAGGAGGAGACACAGGAGGAGAAAACGGAGGAAGACGAGCCGGAGACGAGTCCGGAGGAGGGAACACGGGGCCGTAGATAGAAAGGGGAGCAGACGGTGGAGGAGGCACAAGTGCGCGGTCAGGGGACGGAAGGCCGAGCAGGCGAAGGGCTGACACCGGCGGCGATTGCTGCTGCGGCGGCACGACGGCGACACCGAGGCCGCCGGCTGCTCCACGGCCAACTCCGGAACACTCCACTCGAGCACCCCAAGAACCAGGAACCTCTCCAGCACTGGTACCACCCCCAGGCCTGCCGGGACAAGCCACGACAGGAACCCCAAGATGAGCACCCTCCTCAACACCAGCACCCCTAGGGTCGACGAACTGCTGCTGCTGCGGTTGCGACGATGGCTGTGGCGACTGCGGCTGCAACGACGGCTGCCGCGGCGGCGGCGGCTGCAACGACGGCTGTTGCGAAGACGGAGGAGGAGACACCGAGGGAGGGGCGGGCGGCGAAGATTGCGCCGCACGGCCA